CTCAGCCTTGTCCATCATCTCTTCACATCACATAGCGCTTGAGCGACGATAAATTATCGGAAACCTGCCATTTTTTGCCCAATGGTGTACCAACAGAGATCACGATACTGAACATCACCAGATCCACGATGGAAGCAGTCAACGCCTTGTTAGCAATGGGTCCCTGCGCCAACAACGACATCAAGCGCAGCCATCGGATATGCTATAAGTGTTCCAAAATACCTTGGGACACGCTATTTGCTCCAGAGCGAAGTTTCTCGGGAGAAGAAACGTTTCACAGAAGCAAGGTTGACCAACAAACGGAGTGTCGAATTTGCCAATTCTTCGCAGAGGTTCTCAAATATGAAGTCTCTAACAAACATGGACGACGCTTCAACATAACATGTTGGAGCGCCGCTGGTTTGGGCTTGGATTTTCCGTCAGTATTGCTCGAAGTCGAACATAAGTGGTTGCCGCCGCCGTCCTCCCATGGCTTCGGTTTCGTACTTGCCTGCCAACCAACATCCCAGCTGACTCAGGAAGTGTTAGAGAAAGCCTTCTCTAGACATGCATTCCCATGGCCTTTGACAGCGGAGAAGAACCCGTTGTTAGACCCTGGCCAAACTCTATATCCAGCTGGCGTTAACGTTACTCTCTTGAAGTCTTGGCTGAATGTCTGCATCGAAGAACATGACCACCAGTGTCGCCCGAGACAGACAGATGGTCTGAATGGTTTGCGGGTCATTGATTGTGAGCTTCGAAGACTCGTTCCTGCGCCGCCTGCATGTCGATACGCAGCATTGTCGTATGTCTGGGGCCAACAAGGCAAGAAGGTCAACTCGACCAAGGCCCGAGAGAAAATCCCAAAAACTGTCGAAGACGCTATTGAGACAACCTTATCATTGGGATACAGATACCTCTGGGTTGACCGATATGTAGGTAGATCTCAGTGCCTTTCAGTCCCTCCTTCAGTCTGCTAACTGTTCAGTGCATCGACCAGTCTGACGCACACGCGAAGCAACATCAAATTATGCAAATGGCAGATATCTATGCAGCAGCGCAGTTCACCATCTTCGCTGCGGCTGGCAATGACTCGAATCATGGGCTTCCTGGAGTACGGCCACAGTCTCGGGGTCTCTCCTCCTACTCCTATTACACATCAACGAGATCAGTGAAGTTAATCCGCTTACCTCACACAAAGCCCACCTTGAACTTGAGAGACATGTCAAAATCCTCGTGGGCTTCGCGAGCGTGGTAGGACATCCGATCATCACACCATGCTCATAATGAGCTGACTGTGCGTTTAGGACATTCCAAGAATGTTACTTCTCAAAGCGGCGTCTCTTCTTCACCGACAGACAAGTCATTTTCATTTGTGGCACAGATTCCTACTACGAGGCAGATAGACCCCATGGCGGGGTCGGCCTTTCCGGGGACGCTCACCGGACACTACCAGGCTGGTTTGCCAACACCGCAAAAATCGAGGCGGCTGACACCATGATTGCGTCGATGGATGTATTGAGGCAATACAGCACTCGCACGTTATCCTTCGACGCAGATGCGCTCAACGCCATAATTGGTGCGATGAACTCTTACGCCAGACACGGTGTTCAGCACATCTGGGGAGTCCCTTGGAAACGCTCCTCGGCAGACTACTCACCTGGTTTAAAGGACATTCTCTCAACTAGCCGCAGTGTTAGACGGGATATCGATATAGCATTATTGTGGGTTCACCGGCAACCAAGCATACGCCGCAACGGATTTCCCAGCTGGTCGCCCCTCGGATGGAAAACCCCAATCCAATGGCCCGGGTTTCTTTTAGGCTGGAAGTCTGGAAACTACGTCACACCGGAAGCAATAACTGTGCGAGCAAATTTCAATAAGGGTTTCCGCAAGCTCTATGATCCAGCCAACCCCGAGGAATGTACGCCAGAAGGACTCTCGCATTACCTCAAAGTAGAAGCACGAACGGCAATGTGCAATTTGCAATTCCTAACTGCGCGCATGCCCAAAGAGGATGACTTTGACCCACAACCAGGGATTAGAATGTCACTGGGTGATGGATGGGATGCTATTATGGAGGTGCGCTGGGACCTGGCTCCGGACAAGGAAAACGAAACATTGTTGAAGTGTGTTCTACTGCCAGCCGCAGATTTTTCAAAATCCACCGTGAACGAGTTGTCCGCTCAAGTTTTCATACTTGAGCACCACGGAAACCATTACGAACGTATAGGTACGACTCGACTGCCCGCACGCTTTGACCGTAATCGCTGTGTCGCTCCATTCTTTGGTTTCCAGAACCAGTTCGGCCGTGTCTATGGATCATACGATGAACTACCTTCAGACGTGGAAAAATATATCCAGTCTGTCATGGTCGATCACTGGTGGTGGAATTACTTTGAGCCAGATACTATCATCCTTGGCTAGCAAATACATTGTGGTCTCATGTCTTCCTATTGACTCATCGTACATAGACCCTTATGGCGATAATTATTCAGTGCTTCAATCCGTAATCGTTTATCCATATTCCGCACCCGCTACGGCCCTGTCACACTTCCATCCGTCCCCACAATCACCGTCCTCGGTGCACACGCCATAAACAAATGCTCGTCCTCTGCAATCTTCTTCGCCGCCTCCGGTGCGCTGATGATGCTCATGAACGTCAACGCGTGCGTCATGTCTCGAAACTGCATGGTTGCCATGGAGTCGTAGTCGACGGGGGAACTGGCATTGACAAAGGCAGGGTTACCGCCAACGTAGTATCGTGAGTGGATGACGGGGAAGTTTGAGCCCGTGAGCGACTTGACGAGTGGGATGTGGACGTTGTCGTAGTGGTCGGCGTATTGGGTTAGGTTGAGGCCCGGGAGCATGGTGCCGAAGACGAGGGCGGTGAAGTAGGGGAGCACCATTTTGGAGGTTTTCGCAGTGCGAGAAATGTTGATACTGCTATTGTAGAAAGCGTAGGAAGTGTAGAAGGTGTATACGTATGGTTATGGTGAGGAAGGTACGTCCGAGATGTTGTGGAGTGGTTACTGCCTTCTTATATCGCTATCTCAATCATCAACCCAAAGCCGTTGGAAGGAGCGATAAGTTCATTTAAATGTCCTGTTGGCTCTAACTGCCACGAGCGTGCATTCCACGGGGCTTCTCGGTAAAATGCATAAGCCAGAATTCCAGCCGGACGCCACCACCGAGGGCTTCCCGAATGTATCGATTATACAAGAGCGTATACCCAGCTAGAACGCCTAAGGGCCATGCCTATGTCGCTTCGGGGATGGATCGCGAGGCGAGACATTTGCGAGGTTACCATGAGGGCTGTTCAACTCCACTATTATCGGAGTTGTCGGAGCAATCGCGCTTCCGTACATCATGTTACGACTCACGAATCCTTGTGAGTTGGGTTGTTTCCGCTTCGCAGTCGCGGCGGTTCTTTTGTTGACCGTTCCTGGAGGATCTCGGGCTAGGCTGGATTGAGGAGCGTACGCGAAAGTGCGGGGCTAAGGCGGCGGCCGGATCGCGGCAATTGGTGCACAATTGGGAGACGTGGCAGAGAGACGCGCATTACACCCGAGTGCGAAGATGTAAGTCGGCATGAAAGGTAGTGGCAAGTATTGTAGGCATGTCTTGACATCGTCACTTATCGATAAGGGGACATGCGAGAAGCGCGATGATGGTCGCAGGCGATTCGGCGGGCCGATGACAGCGCAGCCAGACCCACATTGAGCATGGACTGTTGTAATCATAAGAGAAGGGCCGCTCAAGAACGTACAATAGGCGCTCCTATCGACACCACATCTCCTTCTCTCTTAAGCTTTACATCTCCACGAGCGCAGTCTTGAACAATGCCCAGGTGCGCAGCCATGGGCCAAATAACTCTGGGCAGAACACGCCACTTCTACTCGTAGTCGCGACTTCCTCGCGAACGCCAATGTGCACCTTCACACTACACCAACATAGTGAGGCTAGTAGTCCTCAGTGGTTCTCATCATGTCCAAATGTATACCCGCCAGGCCATGCAATCGAATCCCTGCCAGCTGAAGCGAGCTGACAATGGCTGATGACCGGAGGCTGAGCAGCCGTGGCACTCATCACCCCACCAAGGCATCAGTTCGCGCATTATCCAGGCTCAGCCTGATGCCATCCAAAACTCATACTCCATAACTACTCAATCTCCAGGACAAGTACACGACTAGATCAACATACCCTCTCGCAATACAGCTGTTTCGCACACCAGTGAGATGTTTGGCCTCCAACGCGACTCGAAACGCCACCATGGTCACCACCTTACACCCCAGGACGCCAATGCAGATAGAACTCGCAGAAGGCGGCACAAGACCTCTTCGGGTGACAATGGGAAAACACACGATCCACCGATCCGAGGGTATCGTTCCGATGATGAACCAAGGCGCCGACATAGGCATGACGGAGACAAAAATCGACATCGCGCCAGCTCTTCGCACCACCCAAAGGATCACGACCGCCGCAAACAAGACTCATCTAGCGATACCGAAGATGATTCGGTGCCGGTAATAATCGAAGTTGAGCGCGAGAGAACTCGCTCGACCAAAGAACGTTGCGGCGAGCACCGTTTTGATGATTTCTTGGATGAGCGCCGCCATAATCCTGCACCAAAACAAACGTTATCTGGTTCATCGATTCCCCCCTCAGTCTCTACTTCTCAGGCGCGCATTCGGCTAGATGAACTTGACAGTCGTCCGTCTTCATCAGGTCACAATCGGGCTTTCAACGTGAATGCAAAGCTCCCACGCCTTTCTATCTCCCCATATCCTACCGCATATTCACAAATCCGGCCCAATGCTGAGATTCCTGGCGAATCAAAATCAGGAGTAGGCGAAGATTGGCACAGACCTCGAGCGGCTTCGGCAGCTTCAACTCCCTCGTCAAGGATCCGGTCGTGGGCCTCATCGTCACCTAGCTCCGGAATACTGGGCCCGAAAACATACCAGTATCAGTCACTACAGCCTGCTGAAATTCGATTAGTCAAGATCCTACCTGAGACGATGTCGAAGCTAAGATGTGAAATCACTCACACATCGCTTCAAAGCCTGCCAGAGTACACTGCTATCTCGGTAAGTCATTGCCACAGTCTGGCAACATCCACTAACATCGAGCTTGCAAAGTATGCTTGGGGCGACGGGATTGACACGACATCCCTCATCGTAGAGGGGGCTGCAATACCTGTTGCTGTCAGTCTTTACGATGCGCTGAGGGCGGTCCGTCGCAAGAAAGAAGACATCTTTGTATGGGTTGATGCGCTCTGCATCGACCAGCAGAACAGAGACGAGAGAGCTACACAAGTTCGATTGATGGGTCAGATCTACAGCGGTGCAGTGTCAGTAGCCATTTGGATAGGACCGGAGCATGATGAGAGTGCATTGGCACTAGAACTACTGCACAGTGTGGCTGAAAATTCGATCGACTCGCAACATATCAGGTCCACCCGCAACCCAGACTCTCTGGCGCTCTTGAATTTATTCAAGAGAGATTACTGGAAGCGGCTATGGGGTAACTAGCCACGCTGCAATATGTCAATGATTCGTACTGACCAGGATTAAGTCGTTCAAGAGGTGCTTCTCGGGCATAACAAGTTGGTATATTGCGGGCATTCAGTGTTTCCCTGGGAGATATACTTGAAGGCCGGGGAAATCTTCTGGGACCAAGAGAGCGACCCGCATAACCGCCAAGGACCAACCAGCTTCCCAGACCGCGAAACCCTAGAGCAAATTGGAGATGAGTCACTATTAGAGGTAATGCGAGCATGCAGGAAGAAGCTGAGCGAGAATCCCCGCGACAAAGTTTTCGGCATTCTGGGTCTGCTTTCGGACGCTACACAACGCGTTTTCCCAGTCGACTACAGTCAGTCAGTCAAGACGGTCTACACAGATGTGGTCGACCACCTGATCTCGACTACTGAAAAGCTCGATGTGATCCGCGAAGCAATACACTTCCCCCTGCACGTCAATTCTACAGGTCTCCCCAGCTGGTGCCCTGATTGGTCGCACATCCCAGAGGTGCCTGGCCTCGGGCGTACTCTCAACTTTGCAGCTTCCAGTAACGTAAATGGCCCTACTAAGGCTCAGTATTGGTTTCACGATGAACGGCGAAAGCTCGAAATCTCCGCAATCAGGATCGACACAATCATAGCAACAGGTGTTGCTGTAGGCACGTTCTGTTCTGCTCAAGACTACCTGACAGCCTTTCTACAATGGCGCGCAATGCTGCTGCATGAACTAAATGTGGGAGAAGGCAATGATACCGATCCAATTCACAGCTCTTTCTGTAGGACGCTATGTCTTGGACAAGTGCCGCTAGAATGGAGCCAGTCAGGCATGTGGCACGGCCTCTGTTACCACGTCTTCGCAGCTCTTATTCGCGAAAGAATGCCTCGCCTACCACTGGACAAAGACCTTGAACGTCACGTGAGCACAACGGGGCTCATTGAGCCCAAACTACGGCGCACGTTCTTGCAAGACCATCTCGGTAACCGTATGATGGGACGTAGCCTGTGTATTACAGAAGGCGGCTTGATTGGTATGGGTTCGGGCTACATGAAAGCAGAAGATGTTGTTGTCGTTCCGTTTGGTTGTTCCACACCTATCCTGCTCCGCCCGGAGGGCCGTCGCAACGAGTATAGGTACGTGGGTGACGTCTATATCGACGGGTACATGCACGGCGAAGCCCTGGCTCAAATGGAAGCAAGAGATCCGAGGAGAGTAGTTTCTAAGTACATGCTCTGTTGAGGTACCGACGGTTTTCTCGGGCTATGGATCTTACGGCTGTACCACGGCGTTTTGGCGATCTCGATGCACCCAGTCAGTCTATAATATGGAAAACAGCCAGATCTGTCACATACGACCACAGGATCATGAAATCAGCGCTTCCCGTTCGCTCAGCGGTACTTAAGCAAGATACCGGCGCATTAGTACTCGGGTGGGACGCGCTGTTGTATGTTTTTGTCAAAAAAACCGTTTTTTTTTGGAGCCGCCAACGCGGGTTTTCCGCCCCCAAATTGCCCAGGTTTCGCCCTATCGCTTGGCAACCACTCACCGCACGCGTTACACAGCCACGACAGGCTCTAAGATGAGATAAACGCCTGGCCCCAAAGATCCTCCGCCAACTAACTTAATAAGTATAGAAGCACCTGCCAGCGGTAATCCCGTTATAACCAACCTCGGTCCCCCCTCGCACTAGGATGGCCATGCGTCTGCTCCTCCGCCTTGCAGATCTATCTGATCTCAACCTTAGTACAGGATGTTCTCAAAAGCTCTCCTTCTTTCTTCCTCCATCACAGTAGTCTATGCGCAATCATGTTACTGGCGCGACGGCGGGCAACCAAATCCCCAGTACCAGCCCTGCTCCAACGACACTTCAGACCCGCTCAGCCACATCTGTTGCAACATCAACGTGGTCAATAACGAGGGAGGCTGGGATACATGTCTCCCGAACGGCCTCTGCAGGGCTAGCACTGGAGACAATAACTTCATCTATTTTAGAGAGTCCTGTACATTGTCGGACTGGGAGGCCGGAGGCTGCCAGGAACTATGTACGAATACAGTACGATCGCGCCCTACACCTTGACTTTCTGAAAGCTTACATCGACACACAGCCAAATCAAAGAAGTGGAGACGTGAATGTCACTCCCTGTGATGGTACCGATTCGTCTGAGTACTGGTGCTGTGGCAACTCAACCGCTTGCTGTGGTGACGATGCTAGTTTCGGGAAGGAGAAAGTCGATCGTGTGTTCCTGGGCATCATCTCGAGTTCTTCGGTGTCTTCAATCGCGTCGTCTACTAGCACCTCGATTCCATTGAGCTCGTCCAGCCCCGCGGGCACTTCAACCCCATCGCCCACTACAACACCACCGAATGACGACAGTGGTGGCCTATCGACAGGCGCGAAAGCGGGGATTGGTGTGAGTGCTGCTTTTGGTGTTATCGCGCTGCTCGCTCTGGGTGCTTTTATCGGAAGACGGTCATATAAGAAGAAAAAGGAAACTGCAGAGACGACAACCTACTACGAGCCAGTCAAAGGAGAATTGTCATCAGAGTATAGGCACGAAGCTCCTACCCAGGATAGTTTCCTGCACGAGGCTCCGGTCCCGCAAAGGCCTGTGGAATTACCTGGTGTTCCAATTAGACCTCAAGAGCTGCCTGGCTATGGACGATAGCCCATTTTGGCAGATGATAACGAGCTGGGATGGGTCAGAATTGATAGCTCAGCACAGCGATGGGTCGCAGCTGAGCGCGAATGTGATACTCAGACGAAAAGCCGTTCTTATTGGGCGCATAGTACGAGTGTACGTTCTATCGAATATATCGCATCATTCTTCAATCCAAAGACTTGTTCGTAGGCCCCAGGTGTATTGCTTCTTTGATGTATCTTAGCGTAGAGTAACGGTAATTTCAGCATCAGAATCTGAAGTTTTGGCAGCTTGATTGAATCTATACAAGACAAGTCAACGTCTATATAGTCTCCCCGTAGGGCGCACCCTCAAGCTTGAACCCACCAGGCTGCAGCTTTTGAAAGACAGCAGCGGGATCGTACTTGTTCGCAATCGACTTGAGCCTTGCCAGCTTCTCATCTCCGTAGCTAGGAATCACGTTCTGGTACGGTCCAGCATAGTTGAGGTAGATGAACTCAGTGTACAAATTCCGGTCTTTCGCCTCAGCCTTGGCGGCGTTCATCAAATCCAGTGCGGCTTTGTTCAGTTGTTCATCCTTAGACGCGTCGTCCCAGACCACGTAAAGCAGAGTATGCATTAGTGGACCATCGGCAGGGGAGAGACCAAGTGCGTTGCCGCCCTTCTTGCTCATCTGCTCCATAGCCGGCACGGTGAAGGCTTGGAACGCCAGAGCGCCCTGGTCCGCTAGCGGGCCTACGTCCTTCTCGTGACGCGCTTGCAGCCAGGCCATGAACTCCCTGTCGAGCTTGTATGTGGCTGCCCAGAATGCATAGCGGCGGCCTCCGGGCATCTGGTTGGTGAGCATGACCGTGTCGTTTGCCAAGGTTCTGTTCAAAGTATTTGCCATGAGTGGAGGGATGTCAAGGTACTTCTTCAGGATAGCAGGTGGGTTGGTTTCGTCAACGGGTTCGAGATACTCCAGTTGGATTTGGGCTGCCGCGTTGCCCGCTGTCACAGCAAATGACAAGATCTGGGCTGATTTGGGGTCTTCGGTAGCGCCCTCAGCCATTGATGCAAAGGCATCGATTAGCGCTGGGTAGCTGGCCTGCGCATGGACTCGGGTGCCGCCCCACATCAACCCCTGGGGAATTGTCTCCAGCTCAAATCTTGTAACGATACCGAAGTTGTTGCCGCCTCCGCGAAGAGCCCAATACAGATCAGGAAACAGAGTCGGAGTGACCTTCAAGATGATTCCTGATGCAGTAACAACCTCGTAAGACGCAACATTGTCGCATGCGTATCCGTAGATACTGGACTGGTGGGAAATGCCGCCACCAAGAACAAGACCGAGGCCTACATCTGATGCACGCCCACCAATGACAGCGAGGTCGTGCTCTCCAAGCTTTGTATATACTGCCCCCCATCGGTTTCCGGGTCCGATGAATGCAGTCTTTTTGTTGCTGGAAAGTGTGACCTCGTTCATCGCCTCCAGGGTAATGGTTATGCCACCCTCGATGCTAGACGCGCCTGGGAACGCGGTGTGTCCTCCACCCTTGACTGCAAACGGACATTGTGTGAGGCGGGAGACTAATACCGTCGTCGATACGTCGATCGCTTTCGAAGGCCGGAAAACGCAGGCTGGGTTGACAGAGGCTGCCTGGTTGGACCAGTATCCGCTCGTGAAGGTATCGTAGGATTCTGAACCGCTAGAAAGTAGCTTGCTTCCGAAGATGAGCTTTAGTGAGCTACACTGTTGAGTATGTTAGCTGGAGTCCTCTACACAAGTGACGTGACAGATTCCTTACAGCGGCGGCACACGGGCTAGAGAGTGAGCGCTTCTCGATCAAAGCAGCCAAGTCGGGAAGAGCAGAGACATTGACGCCATTGGCGAAGAGAGCTTCCGTGATGTTGAAGTCAGTGGGCTCAAAGGCGTCCTGAGCGACTGCGTTGCCAGCGAGGGCTCCAAGTATGGCAAGGAACGAAGCCTTCATGTTGGGCTTGGATTGGAGGTTCGGCGGAAAGAAGCTGGAGCTTTCCAGAGCTATTTATTACTGGAAAGACATTGATTCTGCGCGTCGTTTAGCAGCCTTACCTGGGCAGACGTCTCCTTGCGCTTTGCGACTTCAAGGGCTCCCGAGGGATCATCAGTCGTTGTCTAGAAGCGCCGCAGTAGAAAACAGATGCTTAGCTGCATGCCGCGCCGCAATTCGGTTCTGCCGTGGAACCTGCATCGAAGAGGTGGCGCTGCCTGAGGCGAATGAGCATACTTCAATCTCGGAGCATTGGCTCAAGAAGAGTCGCGTGCAGGTACGCGCATGTGCAAGAGCTTGTGCGATGGGGCAACCGGATGCGAGTCCATTCTCGCGTACGCGATTGAGTCCTTGGTGTATGTACCTAGTTAAGCATGAATGGAAGCGAGATGCAATGTGGTAGATGAAGCACCCTCCACGCGCGTCCCAGATAATTGAAGCTCTAATCGTCAGGCTTAGGCTGTCCTGTGGCTCTGGCTGTTGCGCACAGGTAACATGCCTATCGAAAGAAGGTGGGCAGTATATCGTAGGCCAGATGAATGTTGAAGGGCGACCCTTCCTGCCAGCCCGTCACGCCCTTGTTTCGGGGAGAGTGGGCCGCACGGATGCTGAATAAGCGCTAGATCGTGCCGCGCCCTTCAGCACTGTGCCTGGTGGCACCTGCACGACACCCCGCGTCAACTCATCCATTGTCTTGGCAAAGGGATTGCTCTGCCCGATAACAACTGCATCTTGATCTGCCGCAAGCGAAACGAACCGCCGTGTCATAGGAGGGTTTTATGCTCCGGATGGCGGCGAATAGAACAGCGACGGCACGGAATTTGGCAGGCGCAAGCGACGTCTTCAGTGCCACTCTTCATCCACGGAGAGTCTCGTGCGCTATCCATCTTATCCTAATCTTGTGCAGGATGGGAACATGTATCTTTGGCGCATGGCTGTTTACTCTGCGTCGTTGTTCCAGAATTGACAAACCTTATCAAATCGGCCATGGTCAAGTCCACACTGCTGTCAACATGCAAGAGCAAGTTTGAGGGAGGTATACTAAATATACAACAGCGAGATCTTGAATAGCCCTGGCTACCCCTGACTACGATCAAGCAATCAGCGATTGTAGACTCGGTGCTGGAAATTGGTCATGGCCCTTTGATCAATGTGATCCCCTCTGCCGGTACACACGAAACCTGAGAGTGGTCTTACGCCGCATGCTCGCATGCACTGACACGACAATGATATCGAATAACTATCAGGTCTCGGAGCATGCTCCGGCGATCAATGACCGACACTCCTCATTGTATCTTTGTTATCATTGTTTACTTCCGGTCTACACTACATCAACAACGATGTCGGCAAAAACGAACGGTTTCGCCCAGGGAACAGTACTGAAGGTCGCATACTCTATGCTTGGTTTGACCAGCTCAGTCGTCCTTGCGAGGATTGGTCTCAACATCGTCAGGCCGAGAAGGCTGACAGCCTCTGACTACTTTGTATTTGTCGCCTTCGCCATTTATGTGACGATGTGCGCTCTCTACATTGCATTGTCTCCTTATATGCAGAGAGTATACGCCGTCTCGAATCGGGAAATACTGCC